TACAAGCAGCCCTATATGTTATGTGTTTTAAAAAATATTTCCATATGCTAAAGGAATGCAACTGGTTGCCAAGGAAAGTGGCTGTTACAGCAGCAGGCTGGGGCTCTTTTTCAAGGAAAAGCTGCTGCAGAAACGAGGTATCCACAGAGGTGCACTAAAGCAACACTAACTGCAGTGACCTTGAGATGACCTAGACCTCCTCATATTACAAAAATGAAAAGGGAGTTAGAAAATCTGAGGCCAATTAGGCCCCTTTTTTTTTTTTTTTTTTTTCCTGGAGACATGATGAAATTTCCTGAAACAAAAACTTTAGCAAATTCTATAAAATACTTCTAGCTTTGGTGGAAAAATAAATTATTGCCTTTTTATCTCCTCATTCCTGAGGCACAGAACTGGCCCACTTCTGTTTGTGCAGATGGATTGGAGGGAAAACACCCAGAGAAGGGCCAAGTGGTGAGATTCTTGGCACGAGCAATTAAGTGTGAAGTTATTCTCAGGGCTGCCTATTTGTTATTGCAGCAGGAATCATTAAGATTATATGGAAAGATATTGTCTGGGAAAAAGTGTGAAGTCAGGATTATGTGTCCCGAGATGTGATTTAGGGGCAGAGCATCGCCCGAGGGGCTCTGGGAGCAGCACCCGGGGCTGGGAGCTCAGGTGGCTCCGGGGCTTTGGGCTGAGCTTCCCTTCCGAGGGACATCCAGGAGGAGCAGGGGCAGAGAAGGGACTGCCCTCGCTCCGGGTCCCTGCGGTCACCTGGAGCCACCCTGGCAGGAACCAGCCAAGAGCTCCAGAGGGGCTGCAGAGCCTTGGGGAGCAGCTGGGCCGGGCAGGGCTGGAGCCCAGCAGAGATCCCAGGGCAGGGTTTGGGCTCAGCAGATCCCAGAACAGGGTTTGGGCTCAGCAGATCCCAGGTCAGGATTTGGGCTCAGCAGATCCCAGGGCAGGATTTGGGCTCAGCAGATCCCAGGGCAGGGTTTGGGCTCAGCAGATCCCAGGGCAGGGTTTGGGCTCAGCAGATCCCAGGGCAGGGTTTGTGCCGTGGGTGTGGGGCTGGCTCAGCACCCCGGGCCGGGCTGTCCCATCACTGTCCCCTGCCCGGGAGGTGCTGAGCGAAAGCCACGAAATTGGTGCGATCAGGACAGAGGAGAGACCTTCCCTCCAGCCCAGGGACTGCTCCTCCCATCCCTCCAGCCCTGCCCGGAGCCCAGGACGGATCGGAGGGAGAGGGCACAGAGGGATGAAGGGGTGCCCTGGCGAGGAGCAGGGGATGGGGACTGGGGAGTGCGAAGGGCCGGACAGAGCAGGCGCTTGCCCATCTCTGCCTCCCCCTCTCTCTAAAACCAAGGCTCCACACGCGGTGCCCGAAGCGATTTCCTCTCCCACCCAAGGGAAAGGAAAAGTCTGGGACAACCCTGGCTACTCCCTGCGCCTCCCTCCTCTTCCTCACTCCGAGCAGCCCCGGACTGCCCAAGGCACATGCCGGTGGTTCGGACCTTCCCCTGCGCAGCTCCAGTCCCGCGGAAGCTGCTGGGACTGGGACAGGCTGGGAGCCAGCCCGGTCCAGGGGTGCCCCGGGGCGCTGGGATAGAGCCTGAGGGATGTCCCTGAGGGATGTCACTGGGGGATGTCACTGTGGGATGTCACTGTGGGATGTCACTGAGGGATGTTCCTGAGGGATGTCACTGGGGGATGTCCCTGAGGGATGTCACTGGGGGATGTCACTGAGGGATGTCACTGGGGGATGTCACTGGGGGATGTCACTGGGGGATGTTCCTGAGGGATGTCACTGGGGGATGTCACTGGGGGATGTCACTGTGGGATGTCACTGGGGGATGTCACTGGGGGATGTCACTGGGGGATGTCACTGGGGGATGTCACTGAGGGATGTCACTGTGGGATGTCACTGGGGGATGTCACTGGGGGATGTCACTGGGGGATGTCACTGGGGGATGCCACTGTGGAATGTCCCTGGGGGATGTCACTGGGGGATGTCCCTGTCTGCTGCCAAAGCAGCCCCGGCACTGGGAGTCCCCGAGGTGTCTGCAGAGCACTCCGAGTGCTGTTCCCCCCTCCATCCGCCCCCGAGGAGCTGCAGGGTGGGGAGTGCAGGACCTGCAGAGCTCATGAGGGCGAGAGAGACCTGCGAGAGCAGGGGGGTCCCGGAGCCAGCCCCTGGCGGTACCGAGATCTCGCAGAGCATCCCTGAGCTCCTCTGCCCCGCCCGGGGGCCGCAGCCGCTGGGAAGGCGAGACGGGAGGGAGACTGGTCCCTGCAAACCTTCCACGGGCCAATTACAGCTCCCAATTAGCGCTCCCAATTAGCGCTCCCGCAGCGCTGCTGGTGCTCGGGGAAAGCAGCGGGGCCGTTCCTAGGGGAACACGAAAGGTGAAGAAACATCTCTGGTGCTGGATACACCCAGCCCCTGTGCACAGGTGTACAAAGCACAAGGAAAATTCTGCGGGATCTCTTTGGTTCAGTCGTGATTTTGATTTGTTAAATTACTCTTTACAATATTTTTTTAAACAATTATCTCAGTGCTAGAACAAAGCAGAAATCTACTGGGATAAATGTGACCTGTTGCAGTCAGTGCTCACAGATTTTGGTGGGCACGTGCCTCGTGTTCAGTGATGACAGAAACACCCGGGGACACTGAGCCAGCTCTGGCAGCTGAAACCACAGAGGCCTCGGCTCGCTGCAGTCCCTCATCCTGCTGGAGGCATCCCCAGAGGATGTTACCTGCAGGCTTGGATAATCCCCGCTGATTTTTGTCATCTCCTGCCCTGAATTCTACCCTAGGGCAGAACAAAAAGCCTTTCTGCTCTGCAGGGAGCCCCTGCTGCCCGTTTGGTTCTGGTGTGTGGGTGATTAACACCTGACTCGAGTCCTGTTTCAGCACAGAGCATTGCACAGAGGCGTTTCAAGTACCTGGGGAAATCTGGAGCTTGGAGAAGCCAGTGCTGGCTCCACGCCCCTCCCTGGTGAGCAGCAGAAGCCGGGGCTGTGGGGCAGGGCAGCCCCAAATCCTGTCCCTGTCCCAGAGCAGGGCACTGTGGCACAGGGACAGCCCGTCAGGCAGCCCAGGGAGGGCACTGTGCTCCTGGAGACTGCACCTGGGACCCCCAAAATTGTTGGGAGGGGGAACAGAAAAGGGTCTTTTCCAAAGGTCTTTTTTCCCCTTCTTCCCCCACAGCGTGGGCAGCAGGGGAGGGGGATTCTGCCCCTGTGCTCAGGTGAGACCCCACCTGCAGAGCTGCCCCACCCCGGGCCCAGCACAGGGAGGAGCTGGAGCTGCTGGAGCCAGGCCAGAGGAGGCTCCAGGATGAGCAGAGGGATGGAGCAGCTCTGCTGGGAGGAAAGGCTGGCACAGCTGGCAATGTTCACCTGCAGAGGAGAAGCGTAGGGGTGAGCGCACTGAGGCCTTTCAGGGCCTGCAGGAGCTGCAGGAAACATGGAGAGAGACAATTCCCAAGGACTGGACGGACAGGACACAGGGAATGGCACAGCTGGATGGGATACTGGGCAGGAATTGTTCCCTGGCAGGGTGGGCAGGCCCTGGCACAGGGTGCCCAGAGCAGCTGGGGCTGCCCCTGGATCCTGGCAGTGCCCAAGGCCAGGCTGGAAGGAGTTTTCTGGGGCTGTGCTGCACTAACCCCACCCACAGGCAGCCCCAGGAGTTTGGGAAGGGCTTGGCGGGAGATGCTGGGTCTGAGTGAGACCCCAGTGCTTGTGGGGGCCCCTGGAGCCCAGCCCTACCTGGGCACTGCTCAGCCCCATGGGCGCTCAGGACAGCTGTGGTTCCCAGCCTCTGCTGCCAGGGGAGAGTCCAAAGGGGCCCCAAATCCCTCCAGGATGGGTGGGAGCACCCAGGGGAGCAGGGCCTCCACGACTTCTCTGGAGGGAATGAACAGCCAGCTGCCAAGGCTGCAACTGCATGGGAAAACCCACAGAAAACCAAACCCAGAGGCCACCCAGGTGAGCTGGAACATTCGAGCCTGACCTCAAGGTTTACACTGCAGATCCATCCCAGAGCTCTCGTGGCTTATTTGGATAATGTTACCCAGCAAGGCCTTCAGACGCCATCCCAGCTCAGCCAGGCTGCATTCACTCACCCTGCTGTGCTCACCCTGCAGTGCTCACCCTGCTCATCCTGCAGTGCTCACTGCTGTGCTCACCCTGCTCACCCTGCAGTGCTCACCCTGCTCACCCTGCAGTGCTCACTGCTGTGCTCACCCTGCAGTGCTCACCCTGCTCACCCTGCACTCGTGGCAGCAGGCAGGGCACAGGACTCACTCAGCTCCTGGCAGCCTCAGCCTGAGAGCAGCACTGCTGCTGTCAGCTCCCCTGCCCAGAGCTGAGCAGGATGAGAAGGCCCTACCCTGTGGTCGGTCCGGAGGCCTGGACTTGCCAAAGCTGAGACAAAGCTGTAATTTTAGGAGTTTATGGCACCTCAAAAACAATTTCAGGTCAGTGCCTCCCATGGACACCCACCAAAGCCAACGCTGCACAAGTCACTGCAGAGCAGCTGAGGAAAGCCCAAGGCAAAGCTTTTCCTGGCTCAGAGCAAGCCCTGGAAGACTCTGCTCAGCTCAAGGCATGGAGGTTGCTTCAACAAGCCAAGAGATGGGTAGCAATTTAAAAATTCTATCTGCATTGAAGAGATTTACATTACTGTAAATTAAGAATCCTGGGGATGATCCTGCAGAGGCAGTGGGGTTCAGACCTCTGTGATGGGTGAATGGTCTCCAGTTCCCACTGCTCCTCCCAGTTTGCCCCCAAGAAAGGAAAGGGTGGCCCAGGAGCCACCACTCCCTGTGCCAGAGCAGGAGCTGGGCTGCAGCAGACGGGTTTGGGCTCCACGTGCCCCGTGCCTCCCACTGGGGTTGGGCTGGAAGGGCATTCCTTGGGCAGGGACTCCCCAGCCAGGCTGCTCCAACCCATCCTTAACTCACACCCACACTGCTGAGGTGACCTCACTCATCCATTCATGTGACAAATTAAGTTCAAACGTTTTTTTATTAAGCACATTCCACAGTACAAAGCTTTAGATCATGAACGATATCTGTACAATTTAACAGTTCCAAGAAGCTGTTCATACACCAACTTTCCAAACAGATAATTGGCAAACATAATTACAAGTTAGAATTAGACTATCCCAGTGCTTTGAAACATTAATATCGCAGTAATGTACAGTTGCTCAATTATGGTTAGCAAAACAAAGTCCAGAGTGCAGCCAGGATCACTACCATGAATCCCAGGAGTTGAGTTCCTTGGGTGCCAATCACAAAAGTCCACTGTTATGTTACACGAAGCACAAAGAAGTTTCGACTGCATGTTCAAATACCATTATCTCCCAAGGAAAAACAGGAATTTAAATCTTACACATGCATTTTTAAAAAAGGACTCCGCTCCTCAGAAACAAAGAACCTTTTTCTTCAGGGCTGCGACAGATCTCTTTTAAACAGTTTCATATTAAAGCTATTAGATGAGAAGGGTAAAGTAAGACACTTGCACGAACTACTGTCAAGCTTACCAAAAAGTGACCTCATGGACGCTCAGGAGCGAGTTTGCTCTTCTGGACTTCACCACATTCGCTCATCTGGAGGAATAAATAGCTGGGGCAACACGGGGAGGGGAGGAGAGCCCTGCAGGGCCCCCGGGAGGGGCCGGGCTGGTGACACCTCGCGCTGCCCCTCGGCACCGCACAGGGAAAGGCAGTGAGCCAGCAGAGCCACGAGCTGCTGGCAGCACAGACAGACAGACAGACAGACGGACAGACAGCAGTGACAGCACAGCCAGGCCAGCCCTGCCCTCCCGGGGCTGCCCCACGCACGGAGCCCACGCCCAGGGACAATTCACTTTCCAGCACTCCAGGTGTGCTCCTGCCCCAGGACAGGGCTGTGAGCACAGTGCCAGGGACACGGGAACTGCAGCTGTGGAGGCTCCCGACACAAGCGTGGAGGAACCAGGACACAGCAGCCCATCCTCCGGGATCGCACAGGGACGGCACGGGAAGCAGAGCAGGGGCTGGAACGGGCTCCTCTCACTGTCAGCGAGTGTCACAAACCAAACATAAATAATGGAACTTTGGCCCATGGTATCTTCCCCACTGAGCAGCCAAACTAATGCTACCGAGGACATCAGCGGGGGCTGCGAGGCCCCACTGGTGTTAGAGACACAGCTGCAAATCCCGCGGCACAAAAATATAAGATACAGAACATAAATTAAACAGTTTTTAATTTTTAAAAAGTTTAGAAATTACATTTTAAAATATGTAGTTCCCATTAAAAAAAAAAAAAAACAACCAAAAAACCAAACAACCAAAAACGAAACAAAAACAAAAACCCAACTAATGAATACTGAAAACCTCCTTTTGCAGAGACAATGTCTAGGAAATCATGTCACCGCCAGTGCCAGGGGTCAGGACATCCTGCTGCCAAGTGCCACCACGCTGAGTGTTAGTGTGTAGTGTCAGGACAGCCCGAGGCTGGCACCAGAGGCTCTGCTGTATGTACAAGGTATCTACATGCTTACACAGTATCCGAGATGAGGGGAGCACACGGGGAAGGACGGGGACTACAGCAAACATCAGGAAGCGCAGGACAGCGAGTACAGAGCACAGGGCAAAGGAAAAGACAGTGCTATACAACTAGTTCAGATAACCTAGCCTGAATTACAGGGAATCTTTAATTTAAAAGAAATTATCGGTGCAGAAACAAGTAAACTGTAATCCAAAAATATTACTGAGAAACTCAGAAATATTTCTAAGAGTCCAACGTACACCTACAGAACAGAACGGGCTCTGAACCTGCCATGGGGAACGCCTAAAGGACAGTGGTGACTGGAAAGCAAAGCTCTGTACATTCTGGGCATGTGTTTGGCACCCAAATTTCACTGGAGAATGTTTGTTGTTTCTTTTTCTTTAAAGTCAGACAAAAGTGCAAAGCAATATAAATTAGGTCAAGTCCTTTCTTGACTTCTGATTTATATCTGAAAAACAAGCCATCAGAGTTCAGTTTCTACGGACAATTTACATGTGAAGCTTTGGATTTCTCACAGCAGGGAAGGATAGGCTTCTGAAATTCATCTATTCCAAGTCAGTGAATTTGTAGCAAATTCAAAGATGACCACTGAGAGCAGGAAAGATTAAGAAATTTAGATATAGAATTGTGCTGCTTTGCATCTACACAGCATCTAGAACCAATTCTGACTTTAGCTGTCAATCATCTTCAGGCATGTAGTAGCCAAAAATCCAGTAGTTCAAGACTGTGGAACCCTGCAAAAGACAAAAGACAAGTGAACTGAGAGGAGGCTCACAACAAGCAGCATCCCCAGGTGCTCAGCAGCATCCTTTTAGCCAGGCTGGGAGGGGAAGGGCAGGGCACAAGCAGGAGGGGACACTGCAGGACTCCCCTCCTGCAGGGGAGCTGCCCCAGGAGCTCTGGGGTGGGCTCTGAGCCCCACTGCAGCAGAAGCCAGGCTCTGCTCCTTGGCAGAGAGCCACAGGCAGTTTCCTCACACAGAGCCACAGGCCCAGCCCTGGTGGGCACAGCCAGGGACCCTCCAGCTCAGCCCCCCAAACCCAGCCCAAAATGGCCAGGGCATTTCTGCCTCACACTGCACAGGAAGAGTTCTGCACAGAAGGCAAGGGCAGCTGCTTTAATACATGAACAGCTTCTAGGAAAACAGATAAAAACCTCAAGTACTTTGATATTCCCTTTTCCAGCCTGATGGCTTTGGTATCAGCTTGGAGGCAGTGTAAGGTCTGAATGTAATTAAATCTGAGCTTTGATTTTACCTGCCACTTCCCAAAACCATCCTCAGTGGACATCCTTCTTCTGATATGACATTCCATTGAAAGGTTAAAACATCATTAGGCACTTCCCCTTGACTTCCCTTCCCTCAGCCCAAGGCCTAATGCTTAATATCAGAATATTAGACTATCATATGGTAACAATTTTTATCATGTTACAATAAACAACAGGAATTCAAGAGAAAGCAATAAAACTCTCACAGCCAACTGCCAGGACTGTCAAAACTGATCCACTTTGAAGAGCCTCACATTGCAAAGCCTGTAAAAACGTGTGCAGGGCTGCTTCAAAACTCACAAGACTGTGATGTTTGAAAGCTTATAAAACTGTTTCATTAAATGTCATAATGAAATATTAGCTGTTTGACCATAATTTTATGTAGATTTAGGGGTTTTGGATTCTGAAGTCAGACAAACCTGTCAAAGAGTGACATCACAGCATCTCTGCAGCAGAGGAAATCACTGTTAAGGGACTGTTACCAACAGCAGGACCTGGGGGCTGCGTGGTCCCAGCTGTGCCTCTGGGCCAGGCAGAGCAAGCTGTGCACAAGAGCCAAGAGTGCAGGATGTGAGCAGAAGCCCCTGCCAGAGGGAGCCTTACCTTCTGAGGGCAGTAAAGTGCAGACTGTTATCTGGAGATGTAGGTGTATGTTCTAGATGGAGAGCGGGTCTCGTTCTGGGCACTCGGTGGCACATTTAAGAAATCCCAAATCAGAATTGTATCGTCATGGGAACTACTAATGATCTGAAATTCATCAAACTGGAGCCTAAAGACACGTCCTGAATGTTCCTGTGGGCAAGAGGCAAGCAGTCAGCAAGGCAAGAGGGAAACACTGCAGTGCACTGGTATCACACAGGGGTCTGGACACACAAGGTGTGCTCAAACCCTGCTGTGCTGAATAACCTTCATAATTACACACAGATTGAAGAAAAGCTGCTTTTGTATGTAAATTAATTACAGAAAACACACGGCTCCCAAATCCAGTGCTCTACCCTGAGCCTCCCTCAGTGGGGCCAGCCCAGCCACAGGCTGAGATTATTCCAGACAGAAGCTGTCTGTCCACCAAGGAGCAGCAATTTTGGCCCCTGGCTGGCACTGATGCTCTGCCAGGGCTCCTTCTCCTGCAGAATTCTCTGCTAATTCCATTTTTGTGCAACTCCAAACCAGCACATCACAGCTGCACCCTGCTGAGAGGATCCTCAGGGCTCACATACCAGCAGCCAGGAATTCAAACACTGCCATAGGAAGAGGAGCACATGCTCCAGCAGCTTGTCCAACAAATCCCCAAGTGGCACAAGAAGTCCAGAAAAGGCTCTTCCCTTAGTCCTGTTTATCCACTTCCATTAAATTTAAAGTGAGGACTCTGCCTTTATTGGAGAACTAGTCCAAGCTGGCAGAGTGATCCCAAACTCCAACCTGAGCTACAGGATATCCACAGAACACAGAAACAAACAACTCTTTCACTAAAACTGAATGAAAGAATAGTTAAATCTCATCTCTATACCAAGAGTACTGAAGAAAAAGACAAAGGAGAAGCATTTCCAGCCACATAAGCACTTCTCTGGAAGGGCCAAGCACATGCATCACCTACAGACTGAGTTGCTATGGGCTTGTTAAACTGACTCCTGAAGTAAAGCTCCACACGCATTTGGGTGAAAAGAACAAGGAATTAATTCCCCCATCTATTTTTAATTAAGTCTTCTGTCACAAGCCAAACCCCTCATTACAAAGAAAAAATGTAACTTAGGCAACTTAAGCTTAAATATGACAGTCCTCTGAAGGGCTGAGAGTTCCTGTGGCAATCTGTTGGACTCAGCCTCCCTTCTCCCTTCCCAGCTCTTCCTTCCAAAGTGAAGGGTTAGGAGAAAAGTTTGGGAAAGGCTCACAAGATTCTTGCCTCTTTTTTAATAAGAGGAAATTAAAAACCAGTCCTACAGTGATATTAGGGAAATACACCAATAACCAGAGTGATGTGACACAGTATCATGATGATTTCTTTTTAAGAGTATCTGAAAATCTCAAATCAAAAAAACTTGATCTTTTATTTAAGCCCAGATGCAAATCATTCAAGATATGATAATAATTTTTTCTTCATTCTTAAGCCCTTTAGACTTCATAAACCATCCTGGTATTCCCACCTATCCCTCAATAATGCATTAAAACACCCAGACAACCCCAATTAATTATATTTTTACTTACCACTAACGTACGCAAGCATAACGTACTTGCTGGGGCACGAGGGTCAAGAGCAGCTTGCAAGTCCCAAACTTTAATTTTCCTAAAAGTAAGAGACGAAAATCATTATGAAAACACAGAAAATAACATCCAAAGCCCCGGAAAGCCTGCCAGGTTTTCCCTACAGCTACTTCCTCAGGATGAAGCACATTGTGAGGAATACTACAGCTTGTAAAGCCAGGTGGTTTTGTTTTTCTTTGCAGCAGCAGTGATAGCTCTGTGATGGCTGTGACAGACAAGCTGACCATGCTGACAATGACAGTCCCTTCTGCCATGTGGGAATGAAGCTAGGCCCACCAACCCTAGGCAGACACTAAGCCCAAACAAAAGGCTGCAGCCAAACTCAGCTCCAGAATTGTTTTCAGTAACTCTCCAGGCATAGAAAGAAATGGAGAACTTGGGTATGGATGCAAGTGCCATGAATCCACGATGCACTGCAGACACTGAGCAAGCCAGGGGTGCTCTGGAGAGGAGTCTTGTCCTCAGCCCCACAGGAATGGTCTGCATACTCCTGAGAGCCCTACAAGAGCAAGGCAAAATTCTGGGAACTGCTTTCAGACCTACCCATCATAGGCTCCACTAACAATCCTCTTGTTGTCGAACCTGATGCACCGAACCAGCTCTTCATGGCCTTCTAATACTCTTAAACAGGCACCACATTCAATGTCCCAGAGCCTGGGGAGAACACAGGAGAAAACCCTGGGTGTGGGAATCAGCCTAAGTAGCTACTGCCTGGTTTGCTGTGAGAGGTATGTAACTTGTTTAAAAAGGTGTCACTCAGAGCAGCTGCAGTACACATATCAAAATTCATGCAATCACTCAAAATCACATGCAAGTAAAGCTCAGATGTGTGTTCTTTTGAGAAATCCTAACAGAGTTTTTTCTATTTTCTGTAAATCATTAATGAGAAGTTCAGAAAATAAGAAAACCAGGGAGCAACGTCTTCCCCATCTCTCCCAGCAGATGACAAGGTGACAGGGCAGCAGATAAGAGGTTTTGTTCACTCTGAAACCTCAGTGTCAAACTCTTTCACGGGGTTGTAAAATGTTTACTCCTACACTGAGGTAAGCCCCGTTCATAAACCATCTGCTCCAATGGCAAGCCATGCCAAGGAAGTTTTGCAGCATGAGTTGAGGGAAATCCTGTTTCCAGGACAGCAGCCCCTGTCACACAGGGCCAGCAGCTGCTGGCACCCACCTGATGGTGTTGTCCGAGGAGCCACTGACCACCAGGCGGTCCCGGTACTGCAGGCAGGCGATGCCGCGCTTGTGCCCGTTCAGGGTCCGCACAAATTCACACGTGCTGGTGCTCCACACCTGGAGACAGACAAACTGCTGAGAGCTGCACCCAACAGGGCTTCTGCACTGCATGACAGGCCACTAGGAATTCTCACACACTGACAGGCTTGAGGCTGACAGAGGAGTGAAAACCTGCAGAGCATCCTCAGGGGCAAAGAGCAGGGCCCAGGCACTAGCGGGGACGCAGCAGGGACAGAGCCACAGGCACTGCCATGGCACTGACAGAACTGGGGGGTTGTATATAAAATATTTTTGGGTGGCAGAGATTGCCCCAAATGATTTCAAAACCTCAATTACATTTCTGAAGTTAAGAACACTTTTTAAAACTGGAGTTGTCAAACACAAAACCCTCACATTTTTTTAACCAGAGAAATTACTAGGAAGCTCTTAGAAGATCCAAATGGCCTTTAAGCTTGGTCTTAACATTAAAGGATTCAATCAACTTTGCCCATTTTTAATAAACTGTAATTGAAATTGTAATGCAGAGTATCAAGTGGCTCATTTTCCAACACAGAGTGCAGCAGGATCTCTTGGCAGGGATTTGGACATGGAACTGCCAAGAACGTCTTGGCCCAGGCTAAGGCAGCTCTGGTTCAGAGAGGGCAGGGTAGAAATGCCTTTGTTATATTAGTGCACTCTGGGTAACTCAAATCTTCTGGTATGTAACAGCCTTCAAATCCAGCCTCTGAATCTTCCAGACATGGCACAGCCTGGCTGAGCTGCTGGGAAGGCGTGGTGAGGAAAGGCACTGCTGAGGAATTTCATGTCTGGACAGAACTGCCAAGTGAAATTAAAAATACCACTGGAAAAAGGCACAGGGCGTGCCACATTTAACAAAGCAACCGATCTCGAGACAAAGAGTTCAAACAGCAAATGAGCTTTGCTTTCCTGCACTTGTACAGCAGAAGCCTTGAAAATATTCCAGTGCAGTGGTGTGCCCAAAGTCACCGAGAGCCAGCAAGAGGACGCTGCTCCCCGAGAGACACCAGGAAGGCCCTGGGGCAGAGCTGTGCCACTCACCTTGATGGTCCTGTCCCCCGAGGCAGACACGATGTACTTGTCGTCGAAGTCCACCACGTTGACGGCGGCGCGGTGTCCCACCAGGACGCGGCGCAGGGTGATGTCCGTGGGGGAGGCCATGTCCCACACGGCGATGGACCTGTCCTTGGAGCACGTCACCATCAGCCCATTGCTGAACCTCAGATGGAGCACGGCCTCGTTGTGGTGGATGAGCGTGTTCAGAACCTCACCGGTATTTACATCCCAGACTCTGTGGGACACAACGGGGTTATCCTGGGGGAATGATGGGGGTGAGCAGGCAGCAGCCTGGCCCAGGCCCCACGGGACAGCTCTGGCTGGCTGACCCCTGGCAGGGCTTGGGGAAGGCAGGAGATGGGTGCTGGAGGTGTCCTCACTGCCAGCAGAACTGCAGTCAGGCAGTGAACACTCTCTCAGTAACAGGCACAACTACAACGCATCAGAGGGCACTACAAGAAACCCTAACTGAAGAAATTACTTTATAGCCGGCCATCAGCCACTCCAAAATTTCAGGATATGCCTTGAATCCCTCAGGTCATATTCCTTCAAAATTCCTAATGCTAAAAGAACAAAATAGATTTGGAAAAAAAATTTATTTAATATAATCTTTTGCCAAGTATGAGTATCGTGCTTCTGGAATACAAATATCACATTCATTTTAGGGATGTTTTCTGATATTTAGAGATTATTGAAAATATTCCCAGCCCTGATACTCAAATTATTTTTGTGCAAGAACTTAACACTCACCTCACTGTAGAATCTGAAGATCCAGTTACAATAACTCTTTCATCATATTGCAGACAAAGAACTGAGCCAGTATGTCCCGTTAATACTTTCAAACATTCCAAGCTTGTTTTGTCCCAAATCTGTTAGAAACAAGAAGGGTAAATGGTTTATCAACATCAAGAACATGGATCCAAGACTTGGACACTGTAACAGCAGCAAAGAAAGGAGGAAAAGCAGAGACTCCATGAGGGGTGAGTCTGTCCCATTGATGGGCCTTGTCCTTCCCTTCAGCTTAAGGAAGTCTTGGTGTAAGTTTCTGAGAGAACAGTGAAATAACCAAGCACCACGAGGAGATCAAATCCTGTCTGGCCAAAAAAAAGTGTCAGGGAAGATGAGCATGGAAGCAAAGTCCTGGCAGCAAAACAGCCACAAGGCCAGTGGCACACAGAGACCTCCTCTCCTGGGGGAACAGATTTCACATCTTTGGAGTCAATGAAATGATCCCTGGCAGTGCCCCAAGCTTCCAGAGTGCAGCTGGGGGCTTTGCCCTGGCCAACCGCACACAGACACTGGCCCACCAAGAGCCACCAAGGAAGCACAGGCAGCTTGCAGGGCAGAGCCCCAGCCACGGCCAGGGAAGGACAAAGGGAAGTGCTCACCTTAATGGAGTTATCTCGTAGGCCACTGATGATCTTCTCATCATCATACTGTAAACAGTAGACCCCCTTGCTGTTCTCAGAGCGGCACTGGATCCTTTGCAAGTTGTGCCTCCCACACCTCCAGTTGGATTCTATAGTCTGAGCAGAGGGCAAAAACAGGAATTGGGCCTCAGGCTGCAGCAGGACTGTCCCACACCCCCCAGCTTCCCACTTTTACACACACCATCCTTGAATCTGAAGGACAAAAAACAAACCTCTTCTCCTGCTTCCAGTAAATACACAAAAACCACAATGAAATTACCATTAGCACTTCTGTAATTTGTCATGACAAAGGCTGTGTTTATGGAGGGAATCATGGTCAACCAGCCTTAATGACAATTTCCCAAGGAGCCATGACAGAGATATATTCCAGAATCCTTTCTCCTCATATTTATGTGACCAACAACAACAACAAAAGCTGCAAAGATGAGACCAGGAGCTCATGTGGTGCCTTGTCCAGCCTCACCTGGGTGACCAACATCACAGAACTGCTGAGTTCAACACCTGGGTGAAGGGATTTCCTGGGCCTTCCCTTGCCCTACCCTGAATATCACCCATTAAATTGTACTTATACACCTTGGAAAGAAGTTTTCAGATATGAAACCCTCCTGAAAGTACCTAAAATCCTGATAAAAATAAAGCTCAACAGGAACTGTAAGGTTTTGAATAACCCAAACTTGCTTTCCTCCCCCCACTTGAAATCTGTGGAAGACTAATTCTCAACATTTTCATTCTGAGAGGTATTTTTAAGGAGAGAGACCTGACATGCCTTAAAAAGCTGCAAACTATTTCACATCAGAACCAGCATGACTTTCAGGTCTTAATCAGCTTTATTCCTTGTTGGAAAACTGATGCTGAATTCAAAGAAATGTGGGGTTTTGGACAGGAAGATCCTAACACAACCGTGAGAGAACGTGTGCCCAGAACTCCAGGCCAACACCTGCAGCACCTGGGCAGGCTGGGATGCTCTCACCAGAACTGGCCATCTGTTTAGCTATTTCCCTGGGATTCTCCTCAAATGGAGAAAGCACGGAAAGCTGGGGAGAAGCTGACAGACTGGCAGTTTGTTTGGAAAAGCCTATTCCATACTAGGATTATGTAATCCTAACTTCCAAAGCAGTAGCAGGCACCTCTGCAGCTCCTCCAAGATTAAAACTGACTGAACCCTCAGTAAAGACAGAAGTGGAGTGTGACTGTGACATCCCAATTCTAGGAAAACATGTCTGCTTCAAGGGAAAACTGCCTTTCCACTTTGTTTTCCACGTATTTTCTCCTTCAATTGTCTCCCATTATGCAATTTGGAGAGAATTATACCTAGCCCTAATACAAACCTGATGTGCCCCAGGAATTTGTCTAAATCACAAATATGAAGAAATGCTTCTAGAGCAGCTGACAGATCACTCATCCCCCCTCATTCCCTTACAATTTGGTGGGGAAGCCAATGAGATGAGGATAGTGAGGGTGTCAGTGTGGGAGCAGCACTCCTGGCCAGCAGTGCCCTGCTGACTGCCACACTGGGAACTGGGCCCAGAGCTGGCACTGCCCTGGGAGATCAGCCCAGCTCATCTCCTTGCTCAGCATGGAATGCAGGCTTGGAGGGGGAAGGACAGGCAGTTCCCAAGCTTCATCTCATCTGGGCCAGGAGGGCACGACTACAGCTCATCAGCTCCTCTGACCCCCAGAACCAGGAGAGGATTGCAGGCATTAACAGCAGGAACCAATATAATTATAGATCTGAAGGCAGCAGATTTAAACATGCAACAGTAACGCTGGAGACACAGGAGATAAGGCATCAGAAATCCCAGTCAGCCAATTCAAATAGTTTTAGAAACTATTTATGTTCAGATACTCAGTTCTGAACAAGACTTAAGGTCTTAAGAGAACTTCCCCAAAACCCTGTTCTTGGAAAGGTCTGCACTAAACTTGCACCAAGCATGTGCCAGAGGAGCTGTGGATGCTCTGTGAGCACTTCCATGCTTCAGCTTCATGTGGCAGCCACTCCCAAGAGCTCCAGAACACACTGGGAACCCCCAAACCAGAAATGCTGCTGGTCACTGCTCCCCAAACAGAGCAGCAGTGCAAGTTTGCTCAGCAGGCACTGGGGACACGAGCTGGCTCAATTCTCACAGGTTCACTACAGGAAGCCACTTCAGCTGCTCCACATAAGAAAATGCTGGCTTCAGATAAAGGAAACTAAAATCCTGTGTATCTCAGAGGGCAGTAAGGCACTACAGGCGCACATTTCAGTTCTGTGAGGAGATGTCATTCCACGTAGCCCCTATGTGCTGTGGCTACTGTGGGAAAACAGAGCCTGTTTTTGGAGAACTTGTAAAATCCCCTCAAGCTGCCTTGATTCTTGGGATGCTGGGAAAGCAGCCACGACACACAGAATGTACAGCAGCACTTCCCTGGGCAGCAGAGTGAAACCAGATGTGCACATCTAGAGAAATAACATTTGGGATGACTGAACAGACTGAGTGGGTGGGCAAGTGGAGGACCCTCCGAGAGGAACCTGGTTCATGAAGAACTGGCAACCACATGAAAGCTTCTGCTGCAGGGAATTTCTAGTCATTGCTCCATGGTGCTGGGAGGGAAAGTCTTCATCTGCACCCCCCTGCCAGGAGACATCCTAACTGGATACACCGAGCAGGAGGAGAGCAGCTATGAGGGGTGAGGAGAACACTGTGGACTCACAGGAGTTAGGGCTGAAGAATCCCACAGTTCATTTGTGTATTTATGGTTCCAAACCAAGACCAAGATATCCGAAACCCACTACTGTATTTTCCACAGATGCCCTCAGAAGTCTCCTCTACCTTTCCCAGTAAAAGGCAGAACGGTTTCCTGAGCTCACACCCCGCGCTTCTCACCCTCTCCTAAAAGCTCACCAGAGCAACAGCAGCGAGGAGCTCACAAATGCTGCACAACCAACAAAATCTGGACATACAAGGAATAAAGACCAAGCATTTGCCAAAGCATTTGCCACAGCAGGAGAGCCATTTGGCAGCTGAAGTGGTGCACAAATGGGTTGAAAGAAAAAAAGGCATTTAGTGAGAAAAGTACAAACAGAAAATAGTGCAAGATGTAGGGGTATAGCCGAGCCTTGACCATGCCAGAATATATCCACTGGTGCAAAGATGCACAGTGAAAAAAATGCAATTCATCTGCATTTACAGCTGGAACATTAACTATACATTGGAAACGCTAAGGATAATCTACCAGGAACAGAGGGGTTTTTTTACTATTGGATAATGTACACTGTGTTCAGCTCTTGGCTAACAACTGCATTTTTATCCTTGTGAATGTTATTGCAGAGTAAGTGGGTTTATCTTAATCCCATAAACCAAGGAGGTTCTGTTCCCTCTGAATACACAATTCTCCTGCAGGACAAGCAGGACAGGAAAAAGCAAAAGGAACATCCACATTTGTTACGTATGTAGGGATTTCTCCTGACGCATTAGGCCATGAAAATCCAACCCTTTGTTCTTCCCATGCTTTCTTCAAAGGGAAAAAGGAAAATCCCTCCTGACCATGGCAGAGGGAAGGCACAAGTAAATGAACTTGTGTCATCAGGGTAGAGAGGGCTTAATAATTCATTCACGGTGAAGTTCAGAGGGTCTGACAAGCAAAGACTGCCAGGTGCTCTGCCAGGGCTGCTCCCCAGCGCCCTTGAGTTAAAAAGCAGGAGTGAGGAGGGGCAAAAGGAACCAGCAGCTGAAGGGGGAGTTCTGCCCTGCTCAGAGGGGAGAGCTGCAATCTGTGCCATGCACCACAAGAACTTGTGGTCCCTCCTTCTCCAAAGCCTGCCCTTTCCTTGGCCAGCTTCATTTATAAGAAATGCTTTTTGGAAAGTGCCTGTGGAACAGAGATTTCAAAGGCTGTCTGAAAAAAATTCTGAAAAATTTCATATAATGCTGACCAGATTCTCCCCACACATGCACATAAAATTTCTCCAGCATTATAATTAGAGCAGTACTAAACAAATCCGTTTCCCTCAGTAATTATACCCTGCAACCTTCATAAATAACTGTCTCCCAATGCTGGCAGGGACTTAGGGCAAGAACTGACTTTTTCCCCTTTTCAAACTGTCCCAAGGCTTTAAAATTGCAGTTCCAGTCCTAAAACCTGAACTTATTCAGAAATCAGAAGAACACAGAGTTTATCTGATGGCCTGGCACCACATTTTCCTAAAGTCTTTGGAAAAAACCACATTTTTATTCTCATCTTAATTAGGTGGACCCAAGTCTCCATGGAGATGAACTGAGGGCACTCACCGTGTGCCTCAAGATAAGGAGAACATTTATGAAATAAAGTCTTCTCAACTCATCACCAGAAATAGATACTTGTGCTGATCCTGAGGGGACAACACAATAGTTGGCCAAGCTTCACAAATAATATGGAAAAATTCCAGGGACTTGGAACCAGCAGGATTAAAGCTCCCAGGCTGGCACTGTGCCCAAAGCCAGGGCCCATCAGAACGGCTGACAGGACACCCCGCTCCAGCCAGGGGCTCTCCCGAACAAGGGCTCACACAAAGTCCAGTTTTCTAGGATAAACCCCCAAATCCAAATCGGCTTTCCCTTTAAAAAAAAGCTCCTAAAGAACCCTGGCAGTTCAACATGTGACTTGGAGACGTTTGGAGGGACTGGACCACCTCTTGTGAAATGAAACCTAATTAAATATTTGGCTTCACAGTGGAGGTGGGGAGTAACCATCTCTTTCCAAGAATTTGGTTTCTGATCTCTAAATGCCCTCTTATTTTCAAATCAAATGACTTTCAGAAGTGACATTATGTTCCTAAAATGTGTTTGGCATGAAGTAAACAGACACTGGCAGCACCACACTTCTGGAGAGGCAAGGGAAGCTGGCTCTGCCAAAGCCCTGCCTGCGTTACCTCCAGCTCCGACCCCTTTGTGGCTGCATGAACTTCTGACCCACAATGCAACTAGAGCCCAAAGGAAAGAATTCAAATTTGCTGTTTATCATCCCTCATTTTTCCTTCCAATTGTTAATTCAGGTTTGGGATTATTCTTCAAATTCTGACAGTCAGAGAGCACATTCTGCTTTGAGCTTATCTCTGCCCACAACCCAATTTAGCACCAGCTGCAGTGAAGTCCTAACTCTCACCCTTGGAAACAATCTAGGAGGATTTGGTCAATCTTTGTGGTAAAATAGCAAATGACAGGATTTTTGCGCTACATCAAGTATATTTTACTGTATTAAAAAAATCACAACCTTTGGATTTGTTTTTAAAAACAGTAACAATTATAAATATATAACTCTAGAAATGCTAATATGACTCCCTAAACTCTGACCCTCTGACAGAAACAAGATGATCTTATTAAAGATCCAGGCAAATATTTGAAGAAAAAACATTTTGGTATTCAGAGACAAAAATGCTTCATCACATCTAAGATGGAAGTCTTAAATTTAAGAGCTTCTCCACATTGCTGTGAAACATGGAAGAATGGGGAAAGTACAAAACTGTGGAAGAACAACAAAAACAGGAAGAGGAGGAGAAAGTTAACCTTAAAGCTAAGTTTAGTTTTTATTGGTACTCAGTCTCTACATTTTAAACACTGTTAAAAGCTTCTTTTGACAGCCCTTTAGGGAAATAATTTGTGGAAAGTACTTTAAAGTGTGATTTATTTGAAAAATTCTAATAGACATTTGGAAGTTGAAGAATTATTGGGTCCTTGACTATCAGCACAAATATCAACCCCAGTCCAGGTCAGAGACCTGGCAAAAAAAAAAAAAAAAAAAAAAAAAAAAAAAAAAAAAAAAAAAAAAAAAAAAAAAAAAAAAAAAAAAAAAAAAAAAAAAAAAAAAAAAAAAAAAAAAAAAAAAAAAAAAAAAAAAAAAAAAAAAAAAAAAAAAAAAAAAAAAAAAAAAAAAAAAAAAAAAAAAAAAAAAAAAAAAAAAAAAAAAAAAAAAAAAAAAAAAAAAAAAAAGAAATATTTCAGAGGGCTTGAGAGAATAGGTAAGCAGGGGAAAATCTGCTGTGGCAGAAACACACTCATTGGTACAATACATTTTTAAATCCTACTCTTTTCCCACTCTCAGATATTCAAAGACTGGCAATTCTTTTATAATTATTATTGATATTAGGGATGAGAGAAGCATGAGGGGCTTGGGTTTTTCCTACTTGTTCATCCTAGCAAGAAGAATTCAATTCAGGAGCTTTGTTTCTGTGCACTGAAAAGCAAATCTACAGCAACTAAAGAAGCAAAGCATTAAAGAGCAGATTGGGATAATCCAAAAGCCCTCAGAACACCTTCAAGGAGTCCTACACAAATGTTCCACTTATACAAATGAGTTTCAGAAGAGTAACATTAAAAGTGTGAGTTACAGTAATGCCAAACTGTTTTAGTGTTCTATGCAAACGTTTTCATGCTGCTTTTTGCCCACTTCCTTTACAGAACTCAGCCAGAATTGTGCAGAAAGCAAGAAATTATCACATTAAAAGCTCTTAATCCCACAGGCTTCTTATCATTGCAGTATCACCCTCAAGCCTACAGGGAAAATACATCTCCCCTCCAATAACAGAGAGGATCATTCAGCTCACAGGTAAGTATCAAGTTTGGTTATATTTTGCCTAGGGCGTATCTCATGCTCAGTTCTTTATCTTTAAATGTCTATAAATGATGTAGCAAGGTTTATAAAAAGGTATTTGGAAAATACATTATAGCTTCCAGCAGAACCATTTTACAGCTGGATTCAGAGTTGAGGATAATTTTGTTTTCTGAGTGCTAAGCAGCACAAATTGCCATTTGCCATTCTGTAGAGTGGTTCCATTAGCTCACATCTGTCTTCAACATCAAAACACATTTCCCCACTAATGAATTTCAGACCAATAATTTCCCATCCTGAAATAAATCCATGACAGTCTGTGGTGAAACTTCAGAGCTTTGTGGTGAGAACAGCAAACAGAACAAGACACATTTTCTCCTGCTGGCAGAACACTGGGATCATCCTGATTTATCAGAAATATTTATATATTTAAATTGATTTATATTTAAATATAAATATATATAAATATTTAAATTTATATATATATTTATATTTAAATATGATTTATCAGAAATATTTCTATAATATACCAAGCAAGCCCAGCTCTGTAAATCTCAAAACAAGATAAGCAAAATTTTATATCTGAAGCTTCTTTACCACTGATGCCCCTGTGGGTTCATCATCACAGGACTGATGATTGTCCCCATCAAACCACTGCAGAGAGGAAAAATCCTCCATGGGGACCAAACCTGTATTTTCAACAGTCAGTCACTGCTTTAGAAGTGATAAGTTACATTTTAAATATTTGGTGTTTAAGGCATCAACCTCAGATCACATTCTGAGTGAGTGTGGCCAATATACTGAACATTCAGCAATACAGGGAATTATCTTGGAGTAGTGTGTCCTAAACCTGCTATTTTATTAAAATCCTTGCTCTCAGAAGAGTTCCAAAACTCTTTAAATGCAAAAAGGATGGTGTAAACACCTAACCCAAAGCACCTGTCAAGGCAGGGAGTTGCTGAGGGTGTTTTGCACAGCATCCCAAGAGCAGCAGTGGCACAGATTCATTGCTGCAACATTCACCAGCTTTGGAACCCCAAAATCAGCACCGTGACCTGCCTGCAGACAGGATAGATCAGAACACCCACCTCTATATCCTGGATTATCTTTGGGTATAAGGACCTGTAAAACGAATTGGGGGGCCCATCTGTTGGTCTGTTTTTAAACAGGTACTGATCCCTAGAAAGAAGAAGAAACACAGTTCTCAATGTACCACAAAGGATCCAAACTTCACAGGAATGCAAAGCCTGCCCAGAACAAACCCTCAGCACATATGCTCAGAAATACTTGGAAGAATTTTTAGTATCACTATTACAACCCTTGTGACTTTTTGATGTGACAAATATTCAAAATGTCCAAGGTTAAAAAGATAACAAGTGTTTTCCAGTTCTGATTCCCTGCTCCACAAGGCTTCGAGGCAGCAGGGAGCCATCCCCTCACTGTCCATGCCTTTGCTCAGGCACACCACTAGAGAGCATAGGAAAACAGGTTTCTTAGGCAGAACTGCTCTCCAGAATCTTGGGAAGGACAGGAAAACTCCACTGCCACAAACAGCAAGGGCTCCTCTTTGAGAGGCTTCTGCAGCCCAAGCCGCTATTTTACGCTTTAAGAAAAAAAAACAAAAAACCAAACCAAAAACCAACCAAACCAAAGAAAGGTGAATTGGAAATACTTCATCCGAGAAAAAGGCCTGCAAACGTGCTGCCATTGTTTTTTGTGAGCTGATGGAATTGATGGTTCTCCCTGCAATACGGAAATTCCAAATTTGCAGAGACTCAAGCAAGAAAAAATGGTGACAGGCATGGGAGCACAAAAGGACAGGGACAAAGCCAGAGCAGAAAGGGGAGCTGACAGCTTTGGCCTCCAGTCCCAGCAGAGATCAGGAGCTCAGCAATAAGCATTTCCTCTAAACTTCCTTGTGGGCAGAGCTGAGTGTGAGCGATCTGGGCAGGAGGGCAGTGCAGCAGTGAGCTCAGGTACTTACCAACCCCTCCTCTCCGAGAGCCCCTTCCAGAGCGGGTCTGTGCGTACCATCCTCTCAATGAGCTTCTTCCACAGCATCCCCTCCGAGATGACTCTCTGCCACTCCTTACACACCAGCTCTGCTGCACATAGGGATCTGGCATCGAGATAGGAAAGGATGTTTTCTGCTATGTGATCTAAGCCTTGCTCTACAAAGAAATGAAGAGCAGTCAGTGAGTGCATGGAAACAACCAAACCAGCTTTGCAAGACACTGAGAATCCAGAGCTTTGGGGCCCGGCAGCAATGTGAGAACAGTGCCATTGGCAGAGGCACTGCAGTTACAGCTGAGGGCACGGAGAGACACCAAAATATCTCCAAGATTTTATGTCTTTTGTCTATTGGACTCTCCTTCTTCTCGTTCTGGAGGGAGAATCAGCACAACAGTGCAGCAAAAGCAGTGTGGACAGGCCTGGGGAGGGATTGTCCCCTGCACCCTGGTCTCTGGAAATGCCACCTGGAGCAGGGAGCACAGCTCTGGTGTCCCCAGCACGAGGACATGGAGCTCTTGCAGCAAGTCCAGAGGAGGCCACAGAGCTGCTGCAGGGACAGGAGCAGCTCCCCTAGGGAGCCAGGCTGGGAGAGCTGGGAGTGTTCAGACTGGAGAAGGGAAGGTTGTGTGGAGACCTCAGAGCCCTGCCAGTGCCTGAAGGGGCTGTAGGAAAGTTCTCTGCAGCAGGAACTGGAGTGCCAGCACAGGGGGAATGGCTTTGTTAGACAGATATTGGAGAGAAATCCTGCCCCGTGAAAAAGTCACTGCTAGGTCTGTTCCTTATTTCAGAGGACCTGCAATTTTGCTTTCCACAAAACTCCCCTGAACCCGAGATGGCGAATAACTTCATTTTCATGAGTAACATACACCCCTTGGCCAAGCATGAAAACAACCTTTCAAACCAGGAGATGACGACCTTTTCAATTTTCCACTTTATCTCATGACAGCCCACTTTAGCCTTCACATAGTCCTGACAAATCAAAGGAACTACTGTTATGTTTTTATAGCATGAAGAAAGTGTGTTCATACAGCTCTCCACTGCACACTGAATTTCACATGGCCTTCATAAAAATGAACAGCAGCAGAAAGCAGAAACTAATACATGTAAGTCTTACTCATTTATTGATTTATTCTACATAATTATTCTACATAATAAGTCTAGTAGGTCTGTCCTTTGTGTCTGTGCTTTGGACCTGTTCCTATTATGTTAATTAGGGTAAATATTTCAGTTGACATCTCTTTTGAATGTAGCAATTTAAATCTGTGCACTTCTGCTAGCAGTAAAAATCTCAGGAATAGATTTGATGTCAGACAACATGCAGGACTAAGTTTAAGATACATTAAGGCCTGAAATAGCTGCATATCCCTATTTTATATTAAAAGACTGGGATTTGCTTTAGAAAATTTCTGAAATAGGTACTAAAACCTATTCATTTTCTGAAGTAAAATGAATTTGACATCTATTGGTAGACTTTTCAAAGGAAAACATGACACCCATCCCTTATGCCTCTATGAAGCCTTTGCAGTTTTATAGAAAATGGTGAAAAAGAGCTCTTGTTGATTAGAGGGAACAGCTGAAGGTTTGGTTGAATTTCAATAATAAATTCAAACAATTAAAATTCACAGGGATTTCAAAGGTCTGTGTATAAATATCATTATGTATGACAATGAAATGCAAATGTGGGATGTCAACTCTAACATTAGACACAAAACAGTGTCTAAGATCAGGCAACAAACCACAGTTACCACTCTGTCCCTGAAAACAAGGGAAGATTCCATCAGCTCTTCTTTCATTTTTCCTACATTTTCACAGGTGTAAAATTGGTCAGGACAGCAGTGAGCAAAAACCACTCATGCTTAAAACAAAAGCATTTGACTTCTTCAAGACAAGTGGAGCCATCTTTTAAAAAGGCATCATGGAATATCCTGAGTTGGGAGGGACCCAAAAGGATCATCAACTCCAGCTCCTGGCCCTGCACAGGATGACCCCAAAAATCCCTCCATGTGCCTGAGAGTGGTACTCCAGTTATCCTTTAATGGGACTGCAGCCCAACACAGGACTGACTTCAGTCAGCTGGGATTAAGTTCCTGGGTAAATTTAGACAGATGTTCTTTGCACACCACAGCACCTGAATATGGGAACAATTCCCAGTATTTACATTGGGAAAAAGCAACAGAAGTTGTAAAGATGTATTTTGATATATATAAATGTGTTGTAAACAAGTGTCATCTTATAAAGCTCCCTGACATTTTCTTAGGCAGAAATATTTAACATGAAAGAGCTACATAACTCTGTATCAGTGCTGAGGTATAAAAGCAAACAAAATAAAATTTCAGTTGAAGATCAGACTTGCACACGAAGGGTCGGGGGAGTCAGTCCTAGGAGGAGCAGGTGATTTGGATTTTTAGGATTTAGCTTTTAGGCTCTACATGGCATCCTGGCATTCCTGGGATAACCCCACAGGACACACTGATCACCTACCCAGGCTGATATTCCACTCTACAAACAATGTCCACACATTTCCCTTTCCAAGAATCAAACACATCACTGTCCCCAGCAGCATGAATCCAGAGATACAACTTCTTCCAAAGATTAATGGAAAAACAAATACAACCTTACCAGTAGATTACATCCTAGAGATTCTATATATCCACTATTGCTGCTCTGCATTTTTGAGAAAAAATTCACAGAGCAAGTGTAAAGACAGATTTCGTATCTGAACTTATCACACAGGCTGACACTTGTGGGTATCAGAAGAGGTTGTGAGTAAGTGAAAGGAGGAACCAGGGCTGGACAACAAAATAAAAATCTACAAGAGTTTTTGCTCTCAGGTCAGCAACAAGAGTAGAAAAACTTGATGCACCCATCTAAACAGAAACTCAGCACAACATTAAAATGTTGCTCCTAAACTAAAATACCTCTGCATTAGTATTTTCTGTATGAAAAAGGAGTTCAGACCAAAGCTTGCAGATACACAACTTTTGTGACAACTCAGTTGCAATTCCAGCACAAACTCTTTGGGCTACACCAGTCCAACTACTTTAACGTGGAACAACACTGGCATCCAGTGGCCAATTCAATTAATCACAGAAGGGATTCAGCCACCCTGCTGCCCTTCTCTGCACCAGGAAGCAGCTCTGCAGCTCTAAGGGGCACTGGAAATGTGGAGGAGGCTCCCAAGAGGCTGCAGACCCCAGAGCAATCCCTTGCTCTGTGCCTGGGATTTACCTGGCAGCGCAGTGATGAAGTCCCGTTGTAACATGGGCTTCAGGTAAGAGTTAATATGTCCATGCTGATAGTGACACATTCGGGAAATGAGGTGTTCCACAAATTCCACTTGATCTGATTCAGACCACTGGTCAAAATATTTTATACACAAGTCTTTTTCCTTTTCGTAGTTTCCTTCCGATGGTCTTTTTCTTGAGACAATCACAGATGAAGTTCCATTACTTATCTGGGGGTGGAAAAAGGACATTATTTATATATTAGTATATATTTAAATATTGGTATTTATATATAAACTATAGGAACAGCTTACTAGAAACTCTCTCAAGGAAGAACATGTAAGAAGATGCAAAGAAATCATCAAAACTACATTTAAAAACACATTCTTTAAGAAATGAGTTACATCAGATGAATTCCAAAGACTTTGCTCCTACATTACTTCTTACACTGGAAGTCCTGAATTCTTCCCTTACACCTCTTACCACTTAAACACTTTGTAAGGGATGTAATTGTTTTCAGAATCACCTTTCCCAGCTCAAAGCAGCGGTGTCTGGGCACACTGCAGCTTGTCTCCACAAATGTTATGCTCAGTTTCTGGCAGTTAAAATAAGAATTCAAGACCCTCATGTGAGTGTTGCACTGGTTGTCCATAAATAAAAGCTGAGAATCAAGGGCCTGGTTTGTTTTTGCAAAACAGCTCCTGTCAATGTTTGGGACATCCACATGAACAGCTCATTAAAATCCTGGGAGCTTCAGCTCCACATGAGGATGCCCCAGAACACACTGGCAGGAGTCACTGCTAATTAGTGAGCACAGCCCCAGAGTGATGCCAGCTCCTCTGAGCCCCTCAGGAGCCAAGGGGCTGCTGGGGAGCAATTGGCAGCTCCAAAATATTCCCAAACTTCTTCAAAGCAAATGGGTTGCAAGTCCTTGCCATACTGAACTTCTCTTTTTAAACAAGACTCTCAGAAATATAAATGAACTTTATTCCCAAGGATGCTTTGACACAGCAATGTCCTTCTGAGGTCAGTACCAACTACAAAATCTGAGCAAAACTGGTAATTTCTCCAGGATACCCACTGGCATACTTCATTCAAAGGCTGAGCTAATTTTAAGAGGATACAGCCAACAACATCCCAGGATGATTATGCAGCCCTGAGATCTGGACATTTCTCAAAAGCAGGAATGTACAAAACCCTGGCACCTCTCCTTCTACATCCATGTGAGTCCTACCTGCCACAGGGTATTTTTCTTTGGAGACTCGTCTTCATTCTGATCCTCCATTACTGACGTGTTCTGGAAAAAAAGAACAAATATTACTTCAGCTCTTTACTCTGTGACAATTTCTTGCTCTACAAGCATTACGAAAAAGCAAATCAATTGAACAGATAAAATTCATTTTCCCAGTGAACGGAATTCTCAAAGACTTCTGGCCACAAAACCTGAGTATTATAAATAAATTCCCCTTTTAACTGACATGTTTATCAATTCCATTTACTGTAAAGATAACTCCCCAACCCCGCTTCAATTTCCTTTGACAGGTTTTCATGCAGCCTTTCAACGCTTTTCTCACTGGGAAATAAATTCACTTTCATCCTACTCAAGCCAAAGCAATTAAACCTGTCAATGTATTCAACCAGCACTTTCTGCCAAACTTAAATTGCATACAGCTAGGAAAAAAAAATAATAAAAAATATCACTATACACTACTTACATGCAACAGAATATGCTTTTTTCCCAGCTCTAGGAATAGGGATCATTCTCTGCAGAACATCTCTGCAATTCACTGCCCAGGCTGTGTCTACAACCCTTGGCAGGCACCCCTGCCTTTATTGCAGTGCTCTTCCCACAACACAATTGCTCCTTACTACTGCTTCCCTCCCTTCACCAACAAAAGATGGAAAGATTTCTATAAACCTTCAGTTACAAATGCTTCTCTGAGCTCACCTCTGTCTCCCAAAATCTTTCCCTCCTTTCTGCCCCTGTTGTTGATGAGCTTGCTCCCATGGCACACCCTCCATATCCTCCCAAGTCCCTCATTCCCAGGCAGTTCCAGCTTCCCATGCCCATGCCCAGGAGACTGGCAGAGGGTTAGCAGGACAAACTGAGTGTCCTCAAGCACTGTCTGTATTTATTTCACCCTTCTTCCCTTCTGTCTCAACAGACACAGGAACAAGGGGCTCAGGTAAAACACAAAATGGAATAAGTCACACCATTCCCTTACTCCTGCCATCCTGGATATTGGATAACTCCTTAAAAACTACATCCACCCCCACTCAAAACACAGTTCCTCTCAAAAGAATTCATCCCCTCCTCTTTATTCTGTAAGGAGGTGCTGCACAAACCCAGAGAACCTGGAGAATGAGCACTATATAGCAACCCTTCCTCCCCTACCAGCTGCCTCGGCTCCAGCTTACCCAGAGTCCTCCCTGAAGGTGTGGGAAAACATGTGCCACGTGGACTTTGGATGACAGGATAACTGTGGCCACAGAAATGGACAGACTCAACTACCTGGTTATGACACACATGACAATGACATGCACAAGCTCAGGGAGGTGGTTGGAGGGGAATCCAGAAAGGGATGAAGGGAGGAGGTGTTTGAGGTGACTCCACAAAAACATGGATTTTAGTGTTTCTGGACATAGACAGAACAGACAGCCACACCTTCCATGGTCTATGAAGCCACAGCCTCTGCAGGGCCATCCCAGTTATCCACAAGTCCCAGCCAGCCCCTCTCACTGGGGTGCAAAGCAGAGCAAAGGAACACACAGCAGCCCCTCACTGGCTGGGGCCTGGCCAGCCCACAGCACTTACACCATTCTGGAGAGCAAACATGCCACCAGGGAACTATGCAGGGTATCTTTGATTTCATTTTATTTCAATATGAATATGTAAAAATACTCATTAGAGTGATTATATGTTGTTAACAGTGCATCCAATTAGCGTGTCCTTAAACGAGTAAGGAACATCTCATCTCCTCTGGCAGCTGAAGGCTAAATAAACCCATGGATCCTGGGAGCTCTGAGCAAGGAACACTGAGAACATCAAACAGGTGGCTTGGGTCAGCAAATTCAGCAGAAATCCCACATTTTATCCATTTATCCCCCCAACCTTCCTTCAGCAGGCTATGATGGGACTCTGCCATTGCATTTCTCCCTTTATCAGAAAATATCTCAGAGATCTTTGCCAGCTTTCCCATGGATGGAGACTAAGAACTGCCTCCTGAAAATGATGTATTTCTGGGAACAGCCAAAAAAACTACACCACAGCAGCGCTGTGACACAAGAGTGCAGGGACACAAATGCCACCAAAATCACCAGAATTCCACACCAGCAGATTGAAGAGTTTCCCTCTGTGCTGTGCCCCTCTCAATTCCATTGTGCCTCCACTGATGCCCAGGGAAAAAATTGGGCAGCAGGCTTTGGGGAGAGGACAGAGCCCTGGAGTGTCATGGGATCACAGGATCAGTAAGGCTGGAAAAGACCTCAAGGACCATCAAGTTCCAGCTGTGCTCGATGCCCACCTTGTCCCCAGCCCAGAGCACTCAGTGCCACCTCCAGGGATGGGCACTCCAAACTGCACTGCTGCCCAGAGGCACTCCCATGTCCTGTCACCATCTGAGCCATGGCTGTGGGGGCAGATAACACAAGATTTTTAGGCTGGACATAAACACTCTATCCAGATACTTCACCAGGAAGTTGGCAGCTGCATAAATTTAATGGCATCTACTACTACAGCTTGTGTTCTCTTTTCCCATCCTGACTCATTCCACACTTTCTTACTGTATTTTAGAGCTTTTAAATCCTTCATCCTTTCCATTTCTGCTCCCAAATACATTTTTTCCCCCCTATTATATTTTCTTAATAAGTTTGCTCTTCTTCTCTCTTGAAACACTTAAAACATTTTGGGGTCATTTCCCCCATCACACACATCCCAATTTGGACTCCAATCTCTCTCTCCAGCACATAAGCCTATAATGGAGACCAGATGATGGGTGGATCCTGCCCTGTTGCCTGGAAGAAGCAATTAGACAGCTCTGATGTGTCCTGTCCATTCCCAGCACTGGCAGAAGGAGGGTTTCAGAATTCCTGACAGCTCGTGTCAGCAGTCCTGGCTCCTGGGCTCCAGCCCTTGTGCAAGAACACCGATAGGCATCTCAGAGTGCAGTTCTTCCCTCTCGTTCACCCCACCCACCTCCACACACAGCCAGTTTCCCAAGTGCCTTTCAAGTGGCATCACCACGGAATTCAGCCCAATTCCCTGCAGCTCTGCTGCTGAACAGCTCCAAGGCCTGATGGAAGCTCTGACATCTCATCCCAGTGACCCCAGCAAGGCCGAGCTGCCCTTGCACACATTCCCCAGGCGTGACTCCGACCCCACAGGAGCCTTGCAGCCTCTCACACTGCAAGCAGAGCTTCTAAATATTGTCAAATCATCTTGTTCATAGGTTCGTTTTTTCCAGAGATTCCTGTGAAGTTGCTCACGGCTCTTGCAAAAGTAGAATGATTATTTCCAACCAGCTGTCATTCCTTAATTAGTCAGCCTGGAGTAAGTGCTCTCCATCCCTACTGGGAGCAGCAGCGACAGCCAAGAGATAACAATGGGTCCAAGCTGGGATGTTTTGTTGCTGCCTCAGAGTTGTTAAAACCCAATTGAATCGAGTTACACTGAGCAAAGCCCCAGCCCCTATTTCCACTGACTGTAACCAGAAATGGCAGTAAAATTCACACATTGCTCCACAAGCTGGGCAAGTTTAAACGCTCATTTCCTGGAGATTTGCATCCCGCATTCCTTGCTTAGTCCCGAAGAAACTTCAGGCTTTCTTTAGTCTTTCTACTCCACAATACCTCAAGTTTCTGGGATTTCTGTGGGGTGCAGAAAACCATGGCAAAAACAGGTTCACAAGTTACTTGAAGAGAAAGAGGTTCTGACAAGCCTAATTACATCGAACTAATTCCCTTTGGAGATTATGAACAGCTTCTGAAATAGAAACAACTACGAATGATCCTCAAAGGCAAAGAAATCGTAGGTATTCTAAAACTCCATAAATCAGAGAGTCAATTACGATCCTTGGATCCCAGGTAGCAAGTGATGTTTCAAGCACAGCAGCTCCATGGCTGTGAGGGACAAAAGCACCCTGCATTTTCCTGCAGGTGAGTGGGACTTCAATGGTCCCCTCATTCAGCAGGTGCAAGAAAAGCTGCACTTTTCCAGCAGAAATCCACCAAACCTGGCTGCTCCAGATTTCCAGCAGGCTGCTCTCAGCCTGGGTCTGCAGCAGGCTCCAGGAGCTGGGAGTGCCTTGAGTCACTCTAATTGCCTGGGCAGGGGAACAGCCCAGGGTAGCTTTGTTCTTAACCCACTTGGAGCTCCAGTATCGGGAGAGCAATTATGGAAGTGATAGCAGGAAATCCTGGGAACTGGGGCAGGACACACGAGTTTCAGCACTGAGCCAGGCTCACAACACTGCTAAGTTTCTCTGATGATCAAGTTTGCCCTGACAAAAAAAGGATTCACAGGATACAGAGGATGGATGGGCAAAACAAGACAAGAGCTGTGCTACCTTGGAAAAAAGAAGACAGTCTTATGTTTGAGCTTCAATGAAAGGAAAATGAAAGGAAGTAAGAACCTCTATGTCCCACTGCCCTTGAAACTACACCAGTAATTCTCATCTCAGTTAAAGACCCAGCTAAGTCTTCAACAGTCCCCAAGATTCCCACTCTCTGGAAAAAAACACCAGGAAATTTCAGTTAAGGTTACAAAGTAAGCAACACCAATTAAAACAATTCAGCTAAACATGTTCTGATGCCCCTTAACAAATCACATCTGACTTCAAAGGAGCTGAAGAGCCAACACAAAATAGCTAATACATACATGGATACCTCGGAGTCAAAACTGCAGGTGGAGCACACCGAGCTGGAGCTTCAGTCCCCTCCTGAAGCCAGCTCTGCCACACAGGGACTGCTGGAGATCGTGGCACACATTTCCCAGGGAAAGTGAGGAATCTGCCATCCTCTGGGACAGCTGGAGCCAGCAGAAGGGAGGGAGCTGGGCAGCCATCTGCCCCAGCTCAAAGTGATGAGCACGTGCCCCTCGTGCCTTCCTGCTTTTAACAGAGCCAAGAACTGCCGAGTGCTGCAGAACATTTCCACAGGGATGCGAGCCTCTCCTTGGGAGAAATGGGCAGCATTTGCTAACCCAGGAACCTGCTAAAGAATGTTTATTAACAACATCTTGACACTTGATCAGAGATAAGAGGAGGTTTTCCTCTTTTAACTGTGGAGAGGCTCTTAGCA